GAATGATTGACAATTAGGAGGACCACTTATTTCTATGATCCACCCAGAAAAAGAACATCCTTCCTTATGCATTTAAAACAATCACACTTTAAAAGAGGCAAATTTGTGATTTAAAGGGAATTGTAGTTCATTTTATTGCAGTACGGTCTAATGCAGTTGACTGTTATTTGTTAAACTTTCAAAAAATTGTTGTAATGCAGGATGTGAAAATGTTCTTTTAAATCAAGGGGGAGCTATGAAGGACCTTAGAGAGTCACTGAAAAAGAAATTCAGACATTTCAAAGTTAACATTTAAATCATGAAATCTGAAAAAAAAATTAAAAGCGTTTTCTAATTGCACATTTTAATTTTAATTATTGAAGAGAATTTTTACATTTATTTTCAAATCCTATTTCTAAATGTTAATTTAAAAAACAAAATTCATAAATAAATATGTTTACTATTCCCACATTTTAAAAAGTTATTCCCTTTTCCATTTTCTTTTTCAACTTGCATTTTAAAATCCTTTTTTTGAAAATGCATTTTATTTTTGCTTTATCTGCTACTTTTAACATACAACCCTTCAATCATTACCCATTGAGACCAAACCAGCATTTTGATCTGGTTCTTAAAACTTCTCTCCCTCAGACAGTGGAAACATTCAGACCATGGTTAGAAATTGGCTTTGGTCAGAGACACATTGAGTGTTGCAGATTTGATATGTTTTCTGCAGCAGGAACAAACTTTTGTGCTTTTTCTACTTAAACTGGGATAATTTACAGTAGTCATGTTGGGAGGCTATTGATGCTGTCTGCTCTAGACTCTGCTGACAAGCTCGGGGCACAGGTCACTGTAAAATGGAGCTATATTTAAACAGAGAGTTTTTTATACCACAAATAATGAGTAATAAATTCGAGAAATCCCATGCTCCAACAATTCAAGTCCTATACTTACCAAGCTCTACAGTTGGTTCACCTATTCATTAAATGTATCAATGCAGCTAGACATTGTGAGGTTGAGCATGAAAATTAGTTTAAAAGGGAATTCATGAGACTTTGAACAACAGTTATATTTGTTGGACCCAGACAAGCTGGACACAGTTTCAGTTTATTAGAAACTTCTGGGATATTTATGCGCAACTATACAAAGCATTGAAAAGGCCTAATATATATATATATATATATATATATATATATATATATATATATATATACACATAAATATGATACAGTGGGTTCTCTGTCCTCCATGTAGTACTAATCTTCCCACCTCTCCTGACAGTATGAAGATGAGGAAGCAGCAGAGGAATTCAAAATCTCCAGCTTTGTGACAATGGTGCAGGATTGCCAGCGGATTGGAGTGGCTTACAGCTGCCAGGGTAGGCCTTTTCACATTTTATTCCCTCAGTAATTACACACAAGAAAGCGTTGGATGATGTCTGCAGATAGGCAGTTCGGATTTTTGATTAAAAAAGAGGCTTCTAATGATTAGCAGCTGAATGGATTAACATGCTTGGTTAAGTCAGAGGTAATAAAGAATGGGTAAAATAATTGAATAAATACAACAGTATGTTAAATAAAAGTACCCCTGTTGGCAGTCAGAGGTCAACACCATATGGCAGTCAACTGCAAAGGACTAACCTTTTTGCTTCTTTCCCTTCGGCATTAGTGGACTCATTTTCTAACAGCTATATCCAGACAGCAAAATACACCATGTCACAAAAGCCAAATCTCCCTCAGCTGCTTTCTCTAAAAGGCAAAGTGATCTATTGCATCTAATCTACCTAATAAAGCAGCAGATACGGGCCAAGTCTGGGCTTCCATACTCCAGTCTCAGTGTCATTTATTAATGCAGCAGTGTTTATTAAAGTTCCAGGATTAAATTTCTACTATGATCACAAAGACCACAATGTTTTTTTTTTGTTTTCTTTTTTTGTTCTTTATGAAATAGTGACAGACACAAATTTTCAAAAACTGACTAAACTTTTAAGTTTTACGGTACCTTTTTTTTTACTATTCATAGTTAACAGCTTAGCATTCAAGAAATCTCAATATTTTGAGGATAAAAAAAACAACTTTAGGGTCTTCTTCAGATTCAATTATGTATTAGTTATATTTTATTGCTTCGGTTTGTTTTTACAAAACAAAGAAAAACCCCATCATAAACTAAAGACTTACCTTGGGGGGCTTTTGCATGGAGCTGTAGCATGGAGCTGTGGCTAATCACTGCCTCCTGGAGACTCTCTCTCTTTGTCTCATATTTCCTTTGCTCCTCAGCTTCCTTCTCTCTCTCCTTGGCATGCTTTGCCCTCAGCTCTTCCATTTCCTGGGTTCTTCTTTCCTCCTCTTTTTTCACCTTCTCCACAAAAACCCGCTCTTTCTCCTCAGCCTCTTGCACCTTTTGTTTAAGCATGTTCATGGCTGAGTCCTCCATGCACCTTCTCTTTGATTCAGCCAGCATGGCTTTGGTGTAACCAGAATCACCGTTTTCAGTGAGCACATTATTCACCATCTCAAGCAATGCATGCAGCCCTCCACTTGCAGTGGACATTGTGATGCGACAATATCTCCCATCACACACATTTATCAAATCCAGGAGGGTGTCGTCAAGTGTATCTGTAACTTTTCCGTCTTCCACCGAAAGTATTACAAGGTATTTCAAAGCTTCAGCTCCAAAGTGGGATTGCAGGATCTCAACAATTCTTCTCTCCTTTTGTGTGTAAAAGCCACCTCTGATCAACAGAAGAAATGCACTGATTGCCCCTTTGCAAGACAGGAAGCAGCCCTCAATGTTGTTGCAAAAATCCTCATCTGACATATCTTCTTTTAAATCTGAATAGTGCAAGCTGATCGAATTCCCCTCCATTACCAGTTCACAGACTTGTTTTGATCCAATAGAACTAAAGGTTGTCTGGTACAATGTGTCTCCAGAGCTATTCTGGAACAGAGATGTCAAGGATGACCATTCCTCCGTCATGGCAATGACTGCCATCACATGTTTTGTGCTGCTTAGCCCGTCTGTCAAACGAAGCATAGAAACGGGTTTAGTTTGTGTAAATCTCTTTACTAGACAGCTACATTTTAAAGAGACTTTTTTTTTCGTTTCTGAAGTTGGTAAAAAAAAAAAAAAAAAAAGATTACTAATGCCCAAATCATTTAATATCAACTTACCGTGGGACATGTCTTCTGCAGATTGCTTGTCTAAGGTGACACCTGTAACCGAACACTCTGGCTCTGCGACAAAAAGTCTCTGTGATTCCACCTACTTGTTCTGTCAGTATTAAGGAAGTGCATACCAAGCATGCAAACTCCACAGTCAAGGATTCTTCCTCATGCTTGTGAACACAAACAAGCTCCTATCTTAACAGATTATTTTCCTTGATACATTTGCTCAATTATTCGTTGTGCTTTTATTCACTGATATAGAGCTTTATTGCAACCCCAGAATTCTAGGGATTTGATTGGGATTTCCTGCACAAACCCTAAGTAACACATGGGTTTGAACTTTTTTTAATGAAGAAAAATCTGAAAAGTGTGCCCTGCAAATTGCAACTAATTACTGTCAAAATTGATCGAATTGGTAAATTCAGACTGATTTGTGAAATTTAATGTAAGCATTTATGTTGTTGTCTGATCTTTAATGAAGAGAGAACATCATCAACAGCAAGGAAGCATATACTGTACTGTACCAAGAATAGTGATGTTGACATATAAAAAAATAACAATATTCATAGTTTTACTGAGTAATGGCATAACTACCAAGAAAAAAGTGACAGAATGGACCAGAGGTGCATTAATCGCAGCAGCAGCCAAAAGGTCCGTCACTTCTCTGAGGGAGCTGCAAAGATCTGAAGCTTACAAGGGGAATTGTCAGCACTAATGTTGATCATTCACTCTATAGATTGTGTCTTTGAATAGTGAGAAGAAAAAATACAGTTGGGATATGGTACCTTTGGAATAAGGTCTCATCTTTGGTCAGATGAGAACAAAATGCAACTTCAAAATTTACCTTCAAAAAGACAAAACCAAGCAAAAAATCTGAATGGAGATAACCTAAGACTAGTAAAACTTTCCAAAAAAACAACAACAACAACAAAAACACTGGACTTTGTTTTCTAAGTTTGAAAACCTTTCACTCCAGACAGCTTTCTCAGTTCAAAAACACTCAAACATGGTGGGCACATCATAATCAAACTGTGGTACATTTCCTGTTAATTCACATAATGTGAAGTTTTTCCCAAGTTGTCATTGTAATGCTATAAAATTTAAATCAAAGGAAAAATTAATACTTTTGCAAGCCATGATTGAAAGATGTATTGGATATCTGGGTTCACAGAAGAATATACAGTAGCTCCCAAAAAAGTTTAATGCCAAAAGCAATAACACAGTGTCTTTAAGACAAAGATTATACAGATAAACATTGGCCTCTGATTTATTTTATTTTCACCCTCTCAGCTTTTTGCTTGCTGGACAGTGGAGATTGCATCAGCATCTGAATTTATTATGTTTCAATGTTGAAACAGTGAAGCCGCTAAACTTGAATTAAAATCTGAAAAGTGTTTTTTGGAATTTGTGGAATTTTACTTGTCAAATAAAATCCAGACAAAATTTCTTATAAATCCATTTGTAATTTACACAATGCAAAACAACACTGATTAATATCAGTTGACTAAGTATAAACTTCAATGTTTCCATTATATGATGATTTCCTTTTCTTTTGCAGTGCATCATATCACCAATTGTTGCACCATCACCCGCAGCTGCTATTGCATACAGCTGATAACACTGCCCCTTAAAGGAACATACCACCGAATAACATGGAGGGAGGTTACTTCTTAGTAGATAAATATATGTTTATATCATATTACAGCGAAATTAACTATGTTTATAAAATAATCATGAGGGAGAAGTATTATAATAAATAAACTATTTTTTCAAGGGAAAGTTTTGAATTAGCAAAACCGTTTATTTTTTCCTTACACCCCTGTGTGTCAGATGGTTCGCGCCGTTGCTATGCCATCTTGTGTGGACGTTCTCCAGGGTGATGGAGAGCAATAGCTAAAAGTGTTCGCCTTTTTTGTGCTCTGTGTCTAGCACAGCAATGGCCGGTATACGGAGAGTAAACGCAAAGTTGTCTGGGGTCAACCCCGTGATCAGGTACAGTTTATATCGAGTTCTGATTATAAAAAAAAAAAAAGCCTCACTGCAGCTGTCAAGCTAGCCAGGCTAACATTAGCCCTACCCGCCTGTCAGATCGGTTTGCAGTTATGTTTGTTACTGCTTGTTATTTATGTGTAAAAACATGTTTACGCTTGCTTACTAGTTATTTAACTTATAAGTAAGTTATGTTACATTTTAATAAGAAACTTCTACTAGTCTTTTTTGAGTAAATTATATAAATGATGGTATTAATCCAAACAACATTGAGAACAGTGCCTTGCAAAATATACATAACCTTTAAACATTTTTGTTTTGTGACGTGGCAAATACAAACTTGGATTTTAATGAAATTTCATGAGATTTACTTAGTCAAATTTGTGTTGATCAATTTCCTAAATTTCTAAGTTCTAAGCACATGTGAATTGTAGGTGAAATAACCCAAATTTGGAAAGTGCATTCACAATTATAGATTATGTCAGCTATAAACATGTAATCTTTTACCTATAATTTTACTTTGGAAATATGTCAAGGTCTGAATAGCAGCCACATATAAAGCAGGTTTAAAGTGTTGCCAGAAAACTTTTACTAGATTAGTACTTTGTTTAGGACTTTATTTCGCTCAGCCTACACATTTACTATGTCTCATTGCATACCATACAGTAGCATGATGCAGCCTTAACCATGTTTCATAACCAGTTTCATTGGTCTTTTTTTTCTCCGGAAGCCTGTGTGCAGCAGTGCAGGTTAAATAAACTTATTTGGGGGGTGTTATTTGACCAGAGCATCTGGTTTGTGGCAAACAGAAAGTCTCTGTGTCTTCTTTCACCAGTGACATTTCAATGAAGTCTAGATTTATGGAGTACTGGGCTGATCGTTGTCCGGTCAAAAGATTCTCCAACATGAGCTGAGGCAGCTACTTCACCTTAATATTTCAGCTATCTACAGTATATATCATTAATGTTAGCTTACGTTGACTCGTATATATCTGTTTGAATAAAAAATCCATTGAAAAGTCTTGAATAAGAGTTTATTTAGGGGTTTTGGTATAGGGACTGAATAAAAATGCACTGCTCTTTACTTATGTTTAAACAAAAATAGCCATATGTCACTGTCTTTTCACTTCAAAACTATGCGCCACTTTCATTTTGTCTGTCGCATGACATCCTATTATCATATTATGCATGACATTGACATCCCACATCATATTATGACAACCATTAAAAGTGAAATGAGTATCAAAACTCCAATTCATTACATAAAACCTGAACTTATGCTTTAGCAAGTATTTTAAAAAGTGGTAATGGTGGTGAAAATAAATGTAATAACATTACTTACAAACAAAAAAAACAAATCAATCTAACTTTCTTTGTTTTAATATTAACTTAGGTAAAGATGAAAGAACATAAACTTAACTTCCATGTTTTATAGTAATAGTTAAAATTGATGACAAATGCATTCTTTTTTTTTTTTTAAGTTGCTCTCGCTTGCGTGAAGTTCAAGCCCTGCTCTGTGAAGGAGGCCCTGTCTGTCCAGATGGCATCTTGTGCTCTCTTGGTATGTTTGAATGCACCAGAATTTTTTTAGCAAAACATTAATTTCTGTGCCAAACAATTTTCAAACTTTAATGTGTTTTTTTTTTTTTTTACCAAAAAAGGATTAGACAGCAGATTTAATTTGGGATGCAGTGAGCTGGCAAAATACCTTTTCTTCGGACTCTATGAGTGGAATCTACCAAACTTGGAGCATGCCCTTGATGATTTACCTGAAGAAATGCAGGATGGTGAGCTTTTTTTCCAGTCCTGTTCTGCTGGTTCTTGATTTGAATCTGCCTCTGAATCATTCTTTGTTTCAACTTGTCAGATGTGATCATCCTGATAAAGGCAGAGTCTGTCCATCTATACTGCAACCCCCTGAACTATAGTTACCTGTTGCCCTACGTTTCACACTGGAGGAACCTGCATCTGTACTGCATGACAGAGGCTGAGGTAAAAACACTTTCCTTCCTCCTCAGATCTATCATTTGTGAGTGTTTCTTTTCCTGCAACTAGAAACCAGACAGGTTTCTAGTTGCAGGAAAAGAATCAGTGAAAAGAATCAATGAATTCCAATAGATTTTGGAATAAAACCTTTCTGAGCCAAATTTTTGCCAGAGGGAATTCATAGTGCAGGAGTCTTTATCGCCATTCCTTAGGGGCCACTGCTCTGTAACTTTTAGCTAAATCCCTTCTCCAACACAGCTCATCAAAGGACTGAATTAGCTCCACAACATACCCTCAAGTTTAACAATCATCTTGTTATGATGTGTTGAAGAAGGGACACTTTTAAACGCTGCACAACAGCAGCTCTGAAGGAATGGAGCTGGAGACTTAGGCTGAAGTGCCTCCTGGACTTAAGAAGCTAAAATCTTAACCTTGATGTTCAACAAATCTATCAGGGTGTATTCAGATCTGCCACATTGGGTCTGCCTTAAATGGACCATACTTGGTGTTCCCACCCTTGCTTCAGACCTTTTGAATAAGTGTGAATAAGTACCAGCGAAGGAAGGAATCCAAACAAGTTTCAGCCCAACACAAATGTCTCTCTGGACTTTGCAAGCCACCATTGTAGTAAAGTAGTATCCAGATCATACCTTACTTGCTATTTGTTGCTTAGCAATGCTGTTGCCAGCAAGTGGTGGATCTTCCATGGCTTATAGGATGCATTTTTTTTTTACATGTAGCAGAATTAAAAATAAAACGTCTCTACATTGAATGAGTGGCTGTAGAAGTTGACGAAGGTTTTGCAGATAAAAAAAAACAGCTTTAATAGCCAAAACAGAGGGGCTACGTGATGAAATGTAAATGTGTGTAAATCCCTTTATTGCCCCACACGAGGGGGAAACTCGCTGCATTTAAAGCCGGGCGTACACTGCGTTTTTTTTTTGTTGTTGTTTTTTTTTCAGTTGTTGCACGCAGCTACTGCTCACACTGTACAACTAATCGCAGGGTTTAGTTGTACAGTATGAGTTCACAGCTCACGATGTATGTGCAGCACGACGCTCCCATGCAATCAGCCTGCTCACACTGTACAACTAAAAACCACGTCGGACTCAGCTCCACAGTGAGATGGAGCTGCTCTAACTCGTCTATCTGGAAGGCAAACAAATATAAGGGGAATACTAAGCTCACTAAAGTGAAACTCCCTGCCTTGGCAATTTGTACCATTTTGTGCTGAAAGCCCTAAAAAGAAAAGACGACAACGTATTTGGAAAAAAGACAGGGCTGAGCAAAAGTGGCTGCTATGGTCTGTCAATTTTAAACACACAACTGCATTTCACTCATTGCATCCCTGCAATGCTGCTGTGTTTAAATCTGAGATGAAGAATAAAAATAAGAATCCTTCTTTGCGCATGCGCATTGAGCGATTTGCCCACGATGGTCGGGAGAAAATGAAACATGTTTGATTTTCTCCCGACCTCACGATTGTGGTTGTGAGAGGCTGATCACCCCTCGTAACCCCCTGTACACTACACGACTCATGATGCACGATCAGGCTGAAAGTCTGCCCGAAAATCGCTCAGTATACGCCGGGCTTAAATGATCCATTTGGGGAGCAGTGGGCTGCCACTGTGTGTCGCCCGGGAAGCAATGAGGGGTTAAGGGTCTTGCTAAGGGAGCCAGAGTGCAGACTGTGGGGATCAAACCGGGTACTTGCAACCTTCTGAGAGCACAAGTGCACTGCTCTAACTTCCATAGTAGTTTTCTTCTATTTCTGGTCCTCTGCATCGTCACACACTGGGTTAGCAGTGATTTTTATAGTCCACTTGTAAAAAGTAGGGAATTTGTTTGTGATCAATTAGTCTATTTATCTAAAAGCTAACTTTTAATAAAAAAAAATAATAATTCAATAAATAAAAAAGCTACACTGTTTATTTTTAATTAATTGCTTATAAAAAAAAAGATTGCTCTCATTTATCTCTCCCTCTCGCTCCGTGGTTTTTTATGTATGTATAAATGAAAGTGATTTTCAATAATTGATTAGAAGTTGCAGCACTAAAACGTACCAAAGGAATCTGAGGTGAAATAGTCTAACCCTAAATAAATACTTGAAGGTGTAAAAATTCCACGGGACAAATATCAATCAGAAAAAGACAAAAAGATTATTTTATGTTGAACCACCTTAGCAGGAAAGGAGCAGTGCTGTCATTCTGCACTCCTTATTACCCTCAATAACAGTTAACTTTTCCAAAATGTTTGAAGATGTAATTTATTCCCCTGATAATGGAATATTCATTATCAGACTGTTAAATTACAACAGAGCGTTGTACATGTTAAAGGTTTATCCAGATCCGGTGCCAGATAGACCACTACAGGTGAACTTCAGCTATTAACAGAAGCAACTTCTGACCGATTTTTATTTACAACATTTAACTACCCTGTGGGACCAATAAAAGGTCTTTGAATTGAAATTAAATCATTGAAAGAACAACTCCTGGGGTGAAAATAAATCAAAAAACAGGGTTTAGACCATGCTGTAAATCTCCACCATAGCTGTTTGCTTACCAAAACATCTGCATATATAAACAAAAAGTATTTAAAGCACCGAAAAGATTTAGCTTAACTGCTGAAACATATCAATTATAGAGGCCACAGAACAAATGCCATCTTCAAAGAGTCTGGACCCTGATAAAGACATGACTAACAGGAAAAGCCTGAAATCTAATTCATTCTCTGTCCTCCATGTATTACTAATCTTCCCATCTCTCCTGACAGTATGAAGATGAGGAAGCAGCAGAGGAATTCAAAATCTCCAGCTTTGTGACAATGGTGCAGGATTGCCAGCAGATTGGAGTGGCTTACAGCTGCCAGGGTAGGCCTTTTCACATTTTATTCCCTCAGTAATTACACACAAGAAAGTGTTGGATGATGTCTGAAGTTTTCATACACCTCTTTAATCTTTTTAAGAAAAACTTATAGGAATTATATTATAGTCTGCTATTTTCCTGACAGAAAGAAACAGATAATTGAAAATGGAAGGAAATTTTCTCAAAATGAAAATCTAACAGTCTGCGAGTGTTACAAAATGTAATGCGTCCTGACGTCTAGTCACAAGCCTTATGTTCTACTCAGATCGGAGCTTAATGGGGGATGGTGACGTCATCAGCGAAAAATTTAAATGATTATATCTTAAAAAGTAAAATAGCACAAATAAGTACCTGGCATGTCCTTTTAAGGCTTTCCTTTTTAGGATCAGCCATGTGTTGAATTTCTAATCATTTGACTTTTCCTGTTAGATCAGTCTTCTGTTTTCCTTCTTTTTTCTTGGCACTTGAATAGCCCATATGATCCCATATTGTCCGGACAGCGGCTACAGATTGATTTTAAAATAGAAAGTTTTCAATGAGCTTTTTACCTTTTTCCTTGACTTTTATGAACCTTTTCGATCAGATCCCAGAGGGGTTTGTTTTTTTAATATGGGGGGAACCCGGAGTACCCGGAGAGAACCCACTAAAGGGGGGGCAGACTAAGTAAAAGAGACAAAATCAAATCAGATGGGACAAAAAAAGAAAGAAAA